TTCTCCCGCGGAGCGGCTGGTAGTTTCGAACCGCTGACCTTAAGGTTCACAGCCCGATTCGTAACCACTACGCTACCAGAGCTCCTTAGTAAATTGGGTAACTAGATGAAATGACAAGTTTCTAGAAACACACAACAGCCAAAACTGACTTAAGAAGAAATGGGAAGTCTGAACCTCCAGCAAACAAGGAGAATGGATGTAATCACAAACTTCCCAACAAAGAAAAGCCCAAGACCGAGCGGCTTGCCTGAATTCTACAAAACGTTCAAGGAAGAATCAATATCATGCCTTCCCAGACCCTTCCTTCAGCCCACGCACATGAAAAGGAGCAGCGTGGTGAGGTGGGTGGAATGCCCACTCGTGCCCAGTGCCCAGTGGTCGTACCGGGTGTCTGATCGTGTCCTTGAGAGTCTGCAGACTCTCTCATCCCTGGGTGTGTCTGACGGGTGACTGACGTGTGGCCAGTTGCTTAAGTGGTGACCTGAGTATCTGAAGACCCCATTTGGAGGCCTGGCCACATGGTCCTCACACGGTGTGGCTTGTCTCAGGTGCTGGACTCGGAGCAGGACCCAGCCGAGCACATCCCTGAAGTGGAGGAGGACCTGGACCTCCTGTATGACACGTTGGACATGGAGAACCCCAGCGACAGTGGCCCCGACATGGAGGACGACGACAGCGTCCTCAGCACCCCAAAGCCGAAGCTCAGGTGAGAGTGCGGAGGCGGGACCCTGAGGCCCCATGAAGTCATCCAGGGGGGTTCTGGGCTGGCTCTGGGCCCAGCAGACAACGAGGCTCTCCTGGGCCAGAGCAGTCCCACGTAACCATGGACAGTCCACAGGTACTGGAGCCGAGTGTGGGGGGCACTGGGAGGGCTGCTGAGGGTGGAGACACAGCATAGCAGCCAGGTTTGCCTTCAGGGAAGAGTCGGGGAGCAGTGACATCGGGGTGGGGAGTGAAGCAACACAGAGACCAGTGTGTCTCTGGGGCTCTTCTGTCCAGGGGGATTCCTGGGAAGCTGCACGGTGGAAGCATGGGGAGACAGTATGGTTCAGGGCTGGAGTGGGCAGTTGGGACCCAGTGCAGGGGAGCAGGAATAGGGATGTGGCCGCTCACGGCACTAGTGGTCAGAGGTTGGCTGGCCGGCTGGAGTCAGCACTGTGGACCCCGAGTGTGGTCCTTACTTAGTTCCAGGGATGGAGGCCCAAGACAGGCAGGAAGTTGTGGGGACCTTTGCTGTCCCATCCAGCCGATGCGGTCTCCATTCTTGAGCACTGACCCCCTCCGCCCCACCCCCTTCTTCCTGTTACCTGTGGAGCTGGGATCTCACCTAGCTGCCCACGGGGCTGCTCTGCTGACCAGCTGGCCAGGATCGGGCTACGGAAGCTCTGCCGCCAGCCTGCTGTTCCTTCCTACCTGGTGTTGGCTACCTCCAGGCAGAAGCAGGACATGAGGTCCGCCGAGGGTGGACAGGCTGCACATGGACAATCACTCTTCCCCTTCCCCAGGCCGTACTTTGAGGGTCTGTCACACTCCAGCTCACAGACGGAGATTGGCAGCACCTACAGTGCCCGGAGTCAGAGAGGACCGCCCAGCCCCGTGAGTGGACGGATGGGGTGGGACGCCCCTTGAGTGCTGATGTGAACACAGCAACACCTGCCCCTCCTGGGGCCACCCACCCCTACTCGGTGCCCCTCAGCGTCCCCCTGTGGAACTTGCCCCGCTTTACCCACTGTGATGGTCTCCTCCACAGGCCGAGGCCCCCGAGAAGACGAGGCCCCTGGGCAGCAGCCGGCAGTCAAGTGAGAGTGTCCCCGACATGGCAGTTCATGTAAGCCCCAGGCTCCCCCTGCCCCTGAGCTCCTGGGGTGGTGGTCACTGCCCATGGGGATGGTAGGCAGGTTAGATGCTAGCTTTCCTGAGCGGACGTTCAGGCACTCCTGGCCCCTCCCCTTGGTTTGGGAGTGTGCCCTTGGGCACTAACTGTCATTTTCCCCAGAGCACACCAGTCCGGGAACAGCCCGGGCCACCTGAGGACAGCCCAGAAGCAGGAGTGCCCATTGTGGACATGTTCACTGAGAGACTGCCGCCCAGCGGAAAGATCACCAAAACAGAGTCGCTCATCATTGCCTCCACCAGGTGGGGGAGGGGCTGAGGGGGTGTGGGCACCCTATGAGCTGGTGGTAGTGTCCGCTGCCCACCTGGGATTGGACCCTGCCCACGGTGCTGTAGATGAGGGGGTCTGACTGGGAGGGCTTGAGAAACGTGCTCTGAAGGTAGACGCCTCACCTTCTCAGCCCCCACCCCCACGCTTTCTGGACCCCTGCACTGTTTGCCTACCTCATCCCAGGTCAACACACAGCACGTACCAGTACAACCAGGTGGACAGGCCTGACCCTCCGGTTATTGAGGGGGTGTCACCACAGACCCCATCCCCACCCCAGCAGTGCGTCCTGTCCCCGCACAGGTCTGAGGGGAAGCAGGCTGGCCGCCGGGGCCGAAGCACATCCCTGAAGGAACGGCAGCCGGTCAGGCCACAAAATGAGCGGGCCAATAGCCTAGACAATGAGCGCTGCCCAGACACCCGGAGTCAGCTGCAGGTGGGGGCTGAGGTGGGGAGCAAAGTAGGAGCGGGGAGCGAGGTGGTGCCAGGAGGAGTCGGAGGTGTAGGGGGCTGGCAGAGGTGCCCGGAGGGTGTCATGGGCAATGTTTGGACCCAGATCCCCAGGAAAACTGTGTACGACCAGCTCAACCACATCCTCATCTCCGATGATCGGCTCCCAGAAAACATCATCCTGGTCAACACCTCCGATTGGCAGGGCCAGGTGGGCTGGCAACCCCATTGGCTGGGGAGACCTCCGAGCCCCGCCCCCAGGTGCCTGGTGGGCGTGGCCTCCTCTCCCACTGACCCCTGGTATCCCCGGCCCGCCTGTAGTTCCTCTCCGACGTGCTGCAGCGGCATGCGCTGCCCGTGGTGTGCACTTGCTCCTCGGCGGACGTCCAGGCCGCCTTCAGTACCATCGTCTCTCGGATACAGAGATAGTGAGTCGAGCAGGGCCCCTGAAGCCGAAGGGGAACATCCCAGATCTGCAGGGCCTTTAGCCTGGACTCAGGCAGCCTGCTCCACCGCGGACTCTGTAGGGTGGGGTGCAGGGCCTGGGGCCCGATGGCTCGCGGGTGGTCACCCTGGGCTGGAGCAGCGGCCCAGGATGGCTGTCCTAAGGCGCCTGTCCCCTCTCTCCGCACCTCGCGGGACCCTAGCTGCAATTGCAATTCCCAGCCCCCGCCCCCAGTGAAGATTGCAGTGGCCGGAGCGCAGCATTACCTCAGCGCTGTCCTGCGGCTCTTTGTGGAACAGCTGACCCACAAGACCCCTGACTGGCTCAGCTACATGCGCTTCCTTGTCATCCCACTGGGTGAGCAGCGCAGGTGGGATTCTGGGATGCCTGATGGCGCTGTCAGCTGGCTGAAAACAGGTGTTTTAGAGGCTCCGGCCGCCCCCGTGTGGTTACAGCGGCTCAGATTGCTTAACAGTGTCACACACATTTGCTTTATTTTTAACAGTTTTGGTAAATACTTACATTGCTTTTCTGAAGTGATTTATGAAGCCGCTCAAGTAGGATGACAGCTCTTGTGAGCTGGGCAGCCCACAACACACGTTTATGCAGAGCGAGGATTGATTATCAACCCTGGAAATCCTGTGTGATTTGTTAAAATTACTTTCATGACAAACATACCACACTGTAAGCTCCTGAGAAGTTGTGGATGACGATGTTTGTGAGAGCCGGGTGTCCCATGTGGGTGCTAACCTCAGCCTGTTGCTCAGAAGCCTGGGCTCCTGTCCAGAAGTCGGGAAAGGTCCCACGAGGTGACAGCTCTCCCGTCCTTGCTTGCAGGTTCGCACCCTGTGGCCCGGTACCTGGGCTCTGTGGATTATCGTTACAACAACTTCTTCCAGGACCTGGCCTGGAGAGACCTGTTCAACAAGCTGGAATCCCAGAGTGCAGGTAAGGGGGCGGCCACAGCAGCATCCTTCAGCACCGCCTGCAGGCTCCAGGCCTCCTCCCCTGCAGCCCACCTGCCCTTCATCCCCCCACCTCCCACCTACCCCAGCCTACTCGTCCCTGTGCGTCTCTTGCAGTGCAGGAAACCCCGGACATCGTGTCCCGCATCACGCAGTACATTGCGGGGGCTAACTGTGCCCACCAGCTGCCCATTGCAGAGGCCATGCTGACCTACAAGCAGAAGAGGTGAGGCGACTGGGGGTCAGCAGGGACCAGGGTGTTGACAGGGGTGGGGCCTTGCTGTAGCCCAGCCAAGCCGCCTCAGGGTGGGGTTTGTGTTCTCAGTCAGGGCTGGCCACATTCTCAGCTGGGGACAAGTGGGGGTCCCTGGGGCAACGCCAGGAGCCCAGGAGTCTGTCCTGGGGTTGGAGGCAACAGTTGGCCCGTGTCTAGTGTGGCCTCAGAGCAGCTCCACATGTGTGTGTCTGACATGTCCCACGATAGGAAGCTGCTCAGCTCTGTAGCAGGGACCAGGCTCCCCCGAAGTCATACCCTCTGGCTTTCGGGCACCCTGGCAGAGCAGTGGTCCCTTCCTAGAGGGCCGCAGGGGGTACTGCCAGTTAGAGGTGTGGTGAGCTGGAGTGAGAACTCGGGGGCCCTGGAGAACAGGGTGAGGGGGCACTCCTGGCTCTCCCACATGCCCAGGAAGCAAAGCGTGCCTGTCCCCAGCCCCACAGTGGTCAGTGAGCACAGTGCTGATGGGGCCAGCTGGAGACAGCCTTGGTGTATAGGCCCGTGGGCCCCTGCTGCCCGCCTGCTCATTTTGGGGGCAGCCAAGCAGCTCCTCAGTATGTCCGGACGTGCCTGAGGGCTTGTGCCTGCCTAACATATGTGTGTCTTCTCTCTTGGCCGCTTTCTGAAAAGGAAAAGGAACTTTCACTTTGATTTTACCCTGAGGTACCGGTGTCTCTGGTCCCCTTGTCTCTCCCCTGCCCCTGTCTCTCCTGGGCTGGTCTTGGGGGCTTGTTTAGCAACTTCAGCAGTGGGGTTTTCTGTCAGATTCTTGGCTGGCCAGGAGAGGCACTGTTTGGCCCTCAGCCCATGACAGATCCAGACCCTGCCGAGGGAGGAAGCTGGTTTCCAGAGCCTTCCTCTGCCTCTTCACTTAGTGAGCACCCCAGCTCTGCTCTGCTAAACAAACAACTCGGCACTGGAACACCTCCTACTGGGTGCTGGCCTGGCATGAGGTGGGCTGTGACTCTCAGCTCCCTGCTGTTGGCTCAGTTGGAGCGGCAAGGGTGGGGGGTGGTCCCTGCCTCTGTCTGGCAGCAGTGATCCCACCGGGGGGTGGGGGCGGGGCAGACCAGAGGCCCCTGACCAGCCCCCAGAAGAGCCCACAGGAGGGTTTCCTGGGCTCCTGGCTCCACTGCTGTCAGGCCGGGCATGGGGAGTGCAGCAGCTGCATGGCCCAGGGCAGCTTGGCTGAGTGGGCAGCGTCCTCCACTGTGGCCGTGTGTGCATCTCAGCCTGGCAGCATGCGGGCAGTCTCGTCTCGTGGCACACACGCTAGGGCTGGGCCTTGCGAGCCTGGAAGACGCGGGTGTTTGAGTTCTCTGCTGGACAGCACTCAGCAGACAGGTGTGAGCACACAGGTGAAGGGGTCCTCTAGGAGTGTGGACCCCATGTGAGGAGGAAAGGTGCCTCCACTGCCCAAGGCACAAACCTGGGTGGGACCAGAATTCTAATCACAGCCAAGCCTCTTGTCTGAGTGGCAGCTTTGCCGGCACCGCAGGTAAAGCTCCGGGATGACAGGGCCCGGTCCAAGCTGGGATCTCCACTCTGCCTCGACCACATTGCTACTGCTGCAGACCTGCCCACTGAGGTGCATTCAGGGCAGGCTGACAGCCTCGTGGGGACACGCTCAACTGTGAACCTGCAGGCCAGTAGAGAGTCACTAGTCCTGGGTGACCTTTTTCCCTCCAAACCGCTCCCCTCTGATGGACCCCTTCTGGCAGCTTGGAGATCATCACGGGTGCAGGCCAGGACGCACCTCGGAGGGAGTGGTCAGTCAGCCCCAGGGGCTTGTACTCAGAGGGTTTGTCACCAACTGTGTGTCTTCCCTCCTCAGCCCTGATGAAGAGTCCTCTCAGAAGTTCATCCCCTTTGTTGGGGTGAGTATGTCTGTAGGGTGAAGGCTGGACCTCCACTTTGCTCCCCTTCCTGCTATGTGCTGTCGGTTTGTTAAACTGAAGCTCACCTGCCACAGGCCTGGGATATCAGTCTCTGCTGAGATCATGATCAGAGATTTCAGAACCTCCTTCACAAATGTGAACTGAAGACATGCCTATAAATCGTCCCACCTTGCAGTGTAGGGCCGGCCCAGGGCTGTGGGTTCTCCCCAGTTGGCTTAGGGAGCTGATTGATCAAGGTGTAGGACAGACCTTGTTTGGAATGAGGGTGCCCTGAGTCTCAGTGTCCACCTCTCAGCCCGTCCTGGGTGTTGGGAGCTCTGTCACATGGTGCCAATCCCAGGACACAGACCAGGCACTTCTGTCCCCTGAGAGACCAGGCGATGAGAAGAGGGTTACTTGTGTCTGATGGTATATGGCTCACAGTAGAGTAATACAGTGGCTGCGTTTTCAGAAGAAGGTTTCCAAGCCAACCTTTGTCCTTTAAGTTAGGGACCAAATGCGTCAACTGTGAGATGAGAAGTGGCTTGTGGCTCTGAAGGTCCCCTCCCTCCCCTTAGTTATCACTTCAGAGGGCCTGCCAGCCAAGGTATTTACTGTGAGACCCTAGAGCAACTGCTGGCTCTAGCTCTCACTGTCCTCTGCCTTTCCCCTTTGTGCTCTGTCCCTGGGCAGGGAGGGGACACTCGTAGAGCAGCCTCGTCTACAGAACTTCCTGTGACAGCAGACACCTGCTGTGTCCAGTGTCCACTGTCAGCCACATATGATGCCCCAGCACTTGAAATGTGACCGTTGTCACTGGAGAGCTGAACACTTCACAGTAGTGGAGGTGGTGGTGTGCCATCGAGTCGGTTCCAACTCATGGTGACCCTATTTAGGGCTTCTAAAGCTGTGCACTTTTTACGGGAGCAGAAAGTCTCACCTTTCACCCAGGCCCTTCACGTTATTTAAACTTAAAGCATCGTAACCACTTCTGACTGCCTTCAGTCCACGGCTGCAGCTCCAGCCTGGTGCCAGGTCTACAACCTGCCTGACTTGGGGGGCTTTCTCATGCCAGGACTCTCAGCTCAGGGTCCTCTGGAACTGGCTGCTTTGATGCCGTCCTGGAGGTGAGAGTTCTGGTTGTTAGGAAAAGTCCAAGCACAAGGCACCTCGGGCTTCTCCCACTTGTCGACCGCTTGTGTGTCCAGGGCTGAGTCTGGAGCTAAGCATAGCTTGAAGGTGTTGTCTCCAAATGTAGGGTGTCCAAAATATGATGAGGTCTTCCAGACTGTGCGTCTCTGCCATGGCCAAGTTGTGGCCTCCCACAGACCCAGAGGCAGAACCATTCTGAGCTGCGATCGTGCCCTCATGCAGGGGCAGGACCCGGGGCTCTCGGGTTGTGGATGTGTGGTGGAGGCCTGTCTCCAGTGGGCATGCATTGCTTTCTAGGTTGTGAAAGTCGGCATAGTGGAACCGTCCTCTGCCACATCAGGTAATGACCCTTCTCTGCCCTTGTCCCCAAGCCCATGGAGTGTCTGGTCCCTTTTGGCCCCAGGACAAGCGGGTAATTCTATTCAGTGGCACACAGAGGAGTGGGGAGGGGCTCACTTCCTGCTGCTGCTTCCTCCCACAGGTGACTCTGATGATGCAGCTCCCTCCAGTTCCAGTGTGCTCTCCTCTACCCCACCGTCCATGTCCCCGGCTGCCAAGGAGGCCTCGCCCACCCCGCCCTCATCCCCATCTGTTAGCGGCAGCCTGTCTTCCCCTAGGTAACCGGCCCGCTCTCCCCAAGTGTTGCTCCCATAGCAGTGATGACACAGGCTGCCTTGGGGACTTCATGTCATCTCGTGGCCGGCAGGCTAGAGCCCAGGAGTGGCCGGGTTCCTTGAGGCCCTGGGGGGAGTGAGCAGGACTTAACTGCTAGCAGGTGGGATCTTGGTGGGGACCTGCTTGGACAGCCATAAAACTGTGCCCAGAGCAGAACTACACCCTGATCCAGGCAAAGCTGCCCCCATCTAACAGGCCCCCTGTGTCATTTATGGGGGCATTGTGGACAGGTGAGCCAGGACCACAGGGGTCAGGGGGTGGGATTACAGGTGGGAACCCTTGTCACCATATCAGGCAGTTTCAGTGTTTAATTCACCAAAGGAGAATACGTTTGTTTGTTTGGTGATGATGTGGGGGCCACTGCTTCCTTACTGGCCACCTGGGATGGTGAAGTCGCCCTGCCCTTACCGTGTGCCCCTTCCCACTCCTTTCTGCAGCCAAGGGATCGGTGCCGAGCTGATGGGGCTGCAGGTGGATTACTGGACAGCCGCGCAGCCTGCCGAGAAAAAGAGAGACGCTGAGAAAAAGGACCTGCCCACCGCCAAAAACACGCTCAAGTGCACTTTCCGGTCCCTGCAAGTCAGCAGGCTGCCCAGCAGCGGCGAGGCCTCAGCCACGCCTACCATGTCCATGACTGTGGTCACCAAGGAGAAGAACAAGAAGGGTGAGGTGGGGGGTCAGCCAGTGGCGGGGGGGACCGCACGGGGAGTGACTGTCAGCAGTTGCACAGGGGGCGCTCAGAGTGGTCCTTCCTTCCTAGTGATGTTCTTGCCCAAGAAAACCAAGGACAAGGACGTGGAGTCCAAAAGCCAGTGCATCGAGGGCATCAGCCGCCTGATCTGCACCGCCAAGCACCAACAGACTATGCTTCGGGGTGAGCGGCACTGGGGGGCGGGGCCAGATGGCCGGGGCGGGGCCAGATCTGCACTGCCAAGCACCAGCTGAATATGCTTCTGGGTGAGAGGCACTGGGGGTGGGGCCAGAGGGCAGGGGCGGGGCCAGATCTGCACCGCCAACCACCAGCAGAATATGCTTGGGGTGAGCGGCACTGGGGGAGAGGGGCGGGGCCAGAAGCCCGGCCCCTGGAGAGGCTGCAGGCAGTCAGGTGAGACCGGAACGGAGATCCCTACGGTGGTCCCTCCTTGCGATGGCTTCTGCGCTTGGTTGCTGACTTGAGTTCGGCTGTTGCAAAGCTGGGAAGACGCCGTTGGTTTTGCCTGTGAAAGGGGAGACTCAAGCCTGAGCTACATTGAGGCAGCATTTCATGTTTTAATTCTCCAAAGGAAAATGCTTTTGTTTGCTTGGTGATGAGATATATATTATCTGTCTTCCTGCGCATTTTTATGAAGTGCTTAGCTGTATCTCAAATTCTGAGAAATAATTTTTGTACCCTCTCTGCTTTTTTCTTTAAATGGATTTGTATATTTCAAATTGTCTTTTTACAAGAGGCCTAGCAGTTGAGTTTTGGGATGTGGAAGTCAGCTTCTGCCCTAATCTGGGTATTTCCCAGTGGAATTACTTGAGATCCTGAGGTTACAAAACCAGTTGCCGTGGTCGGTAGGGTACCACCCACTCATCTCTCTCCTCCCTGCTACAGCTCAGAGAGTCACAAGGGGCAAGCAGATCCAGTGCTGCCCAGGGTGGCCATGCCCGCAGAGGACCCTCTCCCCACACCACCCTTTGCAGCAGCCAGTGGCTCAGCTCATGTCCTTCTGTCCACAGTTCTCATCGATGGAGTGGAGTGGAATGACGTCAAGTTCTTTCAGCTGGCTGCCCAGTGGTCATCCCATGTCAAGCACTTCCCCATCTGCATCTTTGGACACTCCAAGGCCACCTTCTAGCTCCCATGGCCCTGAGGAGCGAGCCAGCAGAGGGCCACACAGGGACAGCCACAGGCTACCATCCCATCAGCACCCTATCCTGCGAGGCCGCCACACCGAAGCCTGCTGCTTTGTGTTAACGTTTCAGTTCCCTACAGAGACAGGCGCTTAAACAGAGAAACGGTCTCAAGTATGAATGTACTTACAATGTGGGAAGTAACGGGCGGTTCCCAGGCAGGGGGCCGAATACTACCCTGCTTTTTAACCAGTATGTTCTCGGGGGAGCTGGGAGGTCTGAGCGGACACTGTTGAGCTTGGAGAACCAGGTGAGGTGGCTTTGGTTTGCAGGGGCTCCTACCCAGAGCTCCGCAGCTACAAGGGCACTTGTCTTCACCCCCTTGCTTCGTGAAGCAGGCCTCTGCTTTCTCAGGTAGCCTGCACAGGTGAGGGCCCTCCTGTGTGCACAGGTGAGGGGCCTGGTAATAGCACTTAGTGGTCAGAAGCCCAGGGCTCACAGCTAGGGAACAGTGTCCTTCCTGTGGGCCAGGCCATGCCTAGCAGGCCTTGTGTTGGGAAGATGCTGAGGTACAACAGCAGGGCAGTCACAGCCCAGCCCTGGGCCCCACCACCCCACTGAGCTGGGGGTGCAGCCACTGGGTCACTGGGTCCCTTTTCTTCCCAGATGCCTCCCCTAGTGCCACCCACTCCTGGTCCCCCAGTAAACTCCAGCTTGGTGAGTCAGTGGAGGTTTTATAGTCGCAGATATTTTTAATGCTTTTAAATACATGTTACAGTGTAGCTACCAAACAGATACTGTTCTGACAACCAGCGCCCGCTGGGGTGAGGGCAGAACCAGCAAGATGCCCCCGCCCCTGCCCCCCTGCATCCTGCCTCGCACTGCAGGCCCTCAAGACCTGCCCACTCCCTTGGACTGATCTGGAAAATGCTGCTGGGCTTCTGCGTGCTCACCTGGTGCCCAAACTCAGCCAGCACAGGGGGCTTCTGAGGCTGTGGGCCAAGCCCCTGCAGTTCCCAGTACCCCGCTTAAGTGTCCCAGATGCCAACCTGGGACTAGGTGAGATGCTGCTGGGGTCACCAGGACGCACTCCCCCCAACCCCAGCCCAGCCCCCTGCTGCTAGCTGTGAGACACCAGGGCTGGCCCAGGGTGCCTGGGTGGAGATTCAGGATCGTGATGAACATGTAGACAGGTGGCAAAGTGCCAGGTGTGTGTCTCACCTGCACAATCTTACACGTGGTCTGACTGGAAGGGGCAGCCTCTTGGGGTCCAGGAGCCCAAAGTACACCCAGGGCCGAGTTCTCATCCTGGGGCAGGCCCCAGCCTCTACTGGCCACCCCCATACCCCTAGATCTCCTTGGGAAGAACCCACCGACTGGCCCTCCCTGGGACAGGGCAGGCCCACCTGGGGGGCTCAGATTTGCTTTCCTAAGCTGGGTTACCACTGGTGGGTGTGATGGGAAACAGTGCCAAATGTAGGGTGGGTGTGGGTACTCCCAACCCACAGAGCAGCTGCCAGGGTCACAGGTTCCCCACACCCAGACCCCCACCCCCACTCCCAGATGAGAGAGGCTGTTTTTCTCTGCCTGCCCCCCCCTTCCTCAGGTGTGTGCAGCATGCTGAGATGGGGGGCAGAGGGGAAACACAGAGGTATCTCAGTTCCCTGCCTGGGCCCAGCCAGGCCTCACAGGAGGGGAGATCCCGCCAGGGTTCTAGGGTGGGACCAGTGGGACCAGGCGGGGACCAGAACTGGGCCAGGGGCTCTAACCCAACTTCATCCACTTGGTACACCCTGATCTAGCTCCGGCTCCTGACCCCCTTCCCTGTGCCCTAGTGCCCCCACCAGTGGGCTTAAGGACTTGTTTACTTCTTGGCCAGTGTCTTCCCAAAGGTCAGACTCAGTAGGGAAAGGATGGCGGTGACATGCCCCCAACTTGGCTTTCTAGTGGCGCTGTCCCACCCTGCCCCCCGCTGCTCACCCACCCTCTGTGCCCTGTGGGAGTAGCAGGTGGATTCCAATGCCTGTGACTCAGGGAGACCAGGCCATGCTAACCCCTCTGTGCCTCGGTTTCCCATCAGTTACAAAGGGGTGGTGCTAACACTGCCCCTGCCTACCTCATGGAGTTGTTCTGAGGATACACGGAAAAGCACTTTGTTCCTGAAAGAAAGATGACGACGGAGAAACCAAAACAGCCTGTGACTGAGCCTGCGGGCCCTGGGGAGGCACGAGGGACCCCGGGGCTGCAGGTCACTCTCGGGGCTGGTCCTCGCGGTCAGCAGTGGGCTGTATGGATGCAGGGCGACGGGCCCCGGGCCTGGCCTTGCCCACGCGATCCCCAAGACCCACAGCCCGCTTGGTGATCCCTCTTCCTGGACGAGGCCTGACCCTGCGGACCCCTCCCCGCCCGGAGTGCATTGTTGGGTTTCTGGTTGTTACATGTTGCTAGGTTTTTTTTTTGCTTTTTTAATGGAAAACAGGATTAATGTAAATAACCTTTTTGGGGAACAGATTCTAATCTGTCACGTCTGTGACCATGTGGACTATTTTAAGGTGCTGATGCGACACTAATAAACCTGGAGGGGCGCCCCCGGGCCTAGCTCGGCTGCTGTGTGCTTCCTCTGCGCGGCCCGGGGCCTCCTGGGGGCAGGGAGGGGAGCGGGGCCCAGACGAGGCCCGGAGAGGGTCGGGAGAAGACGCAGGGGGCTTGGGTGGATATGTCCACTTGGTGACTCCTAACGGCCGGAGGCCACGACGCCGGCACGGACCGGAAGCGGAAGGGCGGGGCCTGGCCGTACCGTTGTGGACACGCACCCCCCCTTACCCTTACCCACCCCTGAGTCTGAAGTGGGCTCCTGACCCCCACACCCTACTGATCCCTTTCCCGAAGCCGCAGTGGACCCCAACTCCCCTCCCCGGCCCCTTCGGGCCTTAGCAGACCCCCAGCCCACCCCCACTGGCCCCTCTAAACCTGCAGGGGACCCCCGCCCCTCTTCGCAGGATCCTGAGGACACGGTGGACCCCCACCTCCTCCTGCTGATTCCAACCCGCAGTGGATCCCTACCCACGCCCCCCGCTGACTCTTCCGAGCCACAGTGGCCCCCTACCCCGCACCCCAGGTCTCACCGGACCTGTGGTGGCTCCCCTTTTGACCCTTCAACCTGTGCCCCCACTATCCCTCCTAGGCCTCCTGGTGGCACTCTGGTGACACCCTGCCCGCCGAGTGCCCCCTCAGCCAGCCCTTGCCAGGCAGCACAAACCCCCTGTAGAGGGGCCGGTGGAACGGGGTCCACTTCCACCTCTTCACCTCTCCGGGTCCTCGGACCTGCGTTAGGATGTGGCCAGGGGCACGCTGAGGTGAGTGTCACAGCCGGCCAGGGGCTCTCAGTCCGGGAGGACAAAGACTGCCAGGGCCACCGGCGCCTTGGTTCTATATACGGCCCTAGACAGGGTCCCAGAGAACCGTCAGAAGAGATGCCCAGGCCTAGACGGAAGAAGTTTTGATAGAGGGCAGATGGTTGATAGAGGACGGAGGTTGGCTTCTGGGACGAGGAGGGCTGAGGGCTGCGAATCCCAGGGGGAGGCAGCCAGAGACGGGGGTCCCTGGCACCCGGACGCCCTGGCTTGAGGCTGCCCAGCTACATCTGCCAGTGGTTCACAGCTGGCCCCAGAGGGCACCCTACACTGCCACCACCTGTCTTGGGGACCAGGTGGCCTCAGGGATTTGCCCCACTCAACCCTTATCCTTCCTACAGAGCCTCAGAGGTACAGATGAGTAGCCTGCTAGGGCTGGAGATGGACGACAGAAAGCCGAAGGGCCCACCGGGGAAGGAGACAGAGGGACTGAGCCCCTCAGAGCACGGGCACCCCTCCACCCAGGGGGGTCCTTCAGCGGCCTGGGGTCAGCCCAGAGTGCAGAGTGGTACCCAACATGGACTCCAGACTCAAGATTGGGTAAGCTCGGGTGGGCACCCTGGGAAGTAGCTGTCTGTCCACCACCACCTACGCCACACGGAGACCCTAATGACAAAGGCCTTGGTGTTGGGGCCTATGGGTGTTGGTCTTCAGGGCGTCCCAAAAGCCTAGATGGGACCTGAGGTTCTGCTAGGCCACCACGGGGCATGAGGAGAGGGTGACCTGGTGGTCTCCTGGGGCCAGGCGTCTGCAGGGCAATCCAGAGGGCACCACTGGACGTCCATGAAGACATCTCGTGACAGACAGTCAAGGCTATGGACACATTAAATGGTCCTCAGGAAGGGCAGGGCGAGGAAGGGCCAGGAGGGTCCGTGGCTGTGTGTCTCTGCTAATTGGGCTGGGATCCACAGAGAGGAATCCCAGTGGTGGAAGGCAGGAAAGGGCCCAGATGATTCCCTAGCTTCTAGTGTGGGGGCAGAGCACACGTCAATTCCCTGTGGGACAGCTACTTTCTCCCTCCCTGCCCCTAACCCTAGGGGAGATCCCACCAGTATTGTCCCCAGCAATGGCCTCTCTCTGACTTTATCCCACGAGATATCCCCTTAGTCTTCTCCAGGGCTTTTCCTTTGGGGGTGACTAAGACATGGAATACTCTTCCCCCCAAGCTTGTCAGGCTTGGCCCCTTCGGTCACTTCCCACATGCCCCTTTCCCCCAGATGGCAAACAGAACACAAGCCCTTGGTTTCCTCTGTCCTGTCCTAGCCCAAGCTGTCCCAGTGCTGTGGTCACTACACTCCCCAGCATCCACCCAGTGTCAGACACTGCACAGAAGGGGCAACCTTGCGCAGAGGACTGAGGTCCAAGGAGGCATTGGGAGAAACCTCCCCTCCCCACCCCAACCCCACCCAGAGTATCCCAAGAGAAGAAGGCTGACATCCGGCTGGTCCAATATATCGGGAGCATGAAGTGACCACACAGGGCTCATGAGAGGCCAAGAGTGGCAGGGGAGGTCAGCAACAAGGGTTGGTGGCCACACCATGGGATGTTACGAGTTTGGAAGGGCAGCCACTGAGCCCCAATATGTTCCACCTTTAAATACAAACTAACAGCCAGGGTCATGAGACACTTGAAGGAAACCTCTATCAGGAAAGAAAAAGACGCAGAGAAAAAGGGATCAGAAGTAACGCAAGCTGTGCTAGGTAGAGCCCAAGAGAGTCCCCAGTGTGCTGGGCAGGAAAGGGTGCAGCCACTGCCCATGGGGTGGTCTGATTGTGTGCCTGATCCCAAGGGAACCAACCAAGATCCAATCCTTTGAGAAATCAGGAGAGGGGCAAGACAAATGTCCAGAAATCAATATCCTTTATCTATGGAAACCTCAGACAAAAGAAACAGGAGTGGAAAAGGCTGGCTTACATGTGGCAACAGAAAGAAATGAGCAACACCTGTTGGAAGAAAACTTTAAACCATTCCCACCACTTTAAGGAGAGTCTTGGGCAAGGTAAAGATCCTGAATGGAAAGATGCAACAGAGCTGGGAAGTCTCCCTAAGGCATCATGTGAATTTAATGAAATCACAACAAAAATGCTTAAAGGTTGTTTGTCAATCTGACAAACGGTTGGAAGTTCATCTGGAAGCGTGGGGGTGGGGTGGGGTGCTGTCAAGCCAGTCCTGGTGCCTAGTGACCTTGCAGAGACTTACCCTAAAGGCTGTAAGTCTTTCCAGGAACAGAAAGCTTTGTTCCTCCTATGGAGGAGAGCAGCCCAACATGAAACCCACTACACCACCACGGTTCTTTCCAGGAAAAACAGGCAAGCAAATTTAACCCAGTGGCTTCAGTCCCAGCAGCTATCCTGCCAGGCGTTAAAGCTACAAAATCCATGAACAACAGAACTGACAGAGATCCCCAAGGTGACTGGCTGTCTTCAAGCAGGAAGCCTCTCAGGTCAGTGGGGAAGAGACAGACTTCTCAATGAATTACGCCAGGCACCTCGGCAGATAGTTCGGAAAAAGAAACGGATAGTCAGATCTCTCATTGGACACCAGGAAACATTCCAAATGGATCCGAGATCTAAGTGTGAAACAAAAGGATACCATAAATGAACTAGAAGAAATGCTGAGCAAAATCCTTTTTTTTCTCACAATAATGATTTTACACAATATTTCTTCTTTTATGATTGACTGATTTTCCTCAGTCGGAGTCCTGGTGTGGCAGAATCAGTTTGAATCATAAGGTCGGTGATTCAAACTTAGCAGCCACTCCTTGGAAACCCTATACAGGGCTGCTATGGATCTGAACGGACTCAATGGTACTTAACAACCACAAATTTTACTCAGCATACTGTCCTCCAAGTTCATGTACGTTATGAGATGTCTTGCAGATTCATTCTTATTCTTTAACGTTGCCCAGTGGCCATGGTGTCCCCATTCTTCCATTGGTGGGCATTGAGTTGTTTGTATCCATTTGCTGTTGTGAATGTTCTGTGATGAACATGGGTGTTGTGAATGTGATGAACATGGCTCTTTTCTCTAGGATATACACCAAGTAGAAGGATTTCTGGGGCGTTTGGTATTTCTGTTTCCAACTTTCTGAGGAAACGCTGGGCCTTTTCCACCAGGGTTGCACCTTTTGCCATCCCACCAGCAGTGTGGGAGGTGCCAGTCTCCATAGGAGATGCCAGTCTCCACAGGAGGTACCAGTCTCCATAGAAGGTGCCAGTCTCCACAGGAGGTACCAGTCTCCACATTCTGGCCAGCATTTGTTGTTTTTTGAACTTTGCTGTTAATACTTGGATGAAATGGTATCTCATTGTTTTGATTAGCATCTTTCTTGTAGCTGATGAGTGTGAGCATTTCTTTGTATGTGTGTTGACATCATGAATGTCTTCTTTGGTGAAGTGTTTGTTCATGTCTTCTGCCCATTTTTATTTGGATTATTGATCATTTTCCTGTTGAGGTGTTGAAGATTTTTATAAATTTTAGACTTGTGATAATGTTGTTGTGAAGTGCCATCGAGTCAGTTCCAATTCATAGTGACCCTGTGTAGGGTTTACGTAGGAGTAGCTAGTGGGTTTGAACTGCCGATCTGTGGTCAACAGTACAGTGCTTATCCTACAGTGCCACACCAGGACTCCAGAGCTGTGATATAGAGACCTTTAAAATTAAACCTCAAAGTTCAGAAGCCATTAAAAAAATTTCTTTTATATAAGATGGATATATTTAACTACATGTGGTAAAAAACAAATAAAAATATCTACGGATGCAGAACCCATGCCAGGAGCAAGGTCAAAAGATTATTGATTTATACTTTTATAATGTATAATATAAACATAATAGTATAATAAAAAGGGGGGGGCTAAAGGAATTAAAAACATCTATGTCAGTAAAAGGACACACCTTTCTAATATATAAAATGTGAAGCATCAAAAACACCAGCAGCCCCGTGTTTTGCAGAACTGAAGGATCGAACAAACAAACCCTCCATAGCAAAGGGACTACAAGAGATCCACCATTATCCAAAAAGATGTTCAGTTTTCCCTCACCATAAGAAAAACAAATTGAAGCGATGCTAAGATGCTATTCTATTTACCTATCAGATTGGCAAAAATCTGAAAACCCAGCCCCATCCTTTGGGCAAAGCTGTGGGGTGGCAGGACTACAGGATGATGAGAAGTGGGTTGATGGCTGAGGGTTCTGCGGCACTGACCCCTCTCACCCGGCAGCAGCCCCACGTGTGGGTGTTTATACACAGACAGTTATTGACAGTGCAAAGCTGGAAACACCAAGCATCACTCACAGGAAATGTTTCTATAATATCAAAGGCCACTTCCTACCTCTGACAGGAAAAGCTGCTCTGCGGAGGTGCAGAAAAAACAGAGAAGGAGCTTTTGCGGAGGAGCGCAAGCGTTTTGGATCTTGTATAAGGCTCCGGGCACCGGTTTCCAGTGCCCACCTGTGGAGAAATCTGCCCGTGGAAGCAAAATACGGCGATTTCTGAATAGATCGGACAGCCTGGACTGAGGTCAGAGGGCGGAGGGCGGGTCCACAGCCAAGCTGAGGCAGTGACCCAGTGCTGGAAGCCTGGGAGCTACATCTGGAGGGAGAGGTGTGGCCGATTTTTCATTTTTCACTTATCTTTCCTCTTCTCCCCGATTGCGCCCTCGCTGCCCAGGCCAGACACCTTTAGGCGGGCGGGAGCACAACCCCCAAAAGGGTCCAGCATTGCACCCGCAGTCTTCCCACGGCACAGAGAGGAGTCCTGCAGGCAGCTGCTTATGACGTCTGACACTGGGACCCAGCCCTAAAGTTGAGCTGGGCGAGACCCTTTATCCCTACCTGCACAGCAAAGGCTACTGGACAGTCAATTATGATTTTATTTTTGTTTTTGATTGGTGGTTTTTGTCTCTGCTTTTATATTATTTCTGTTTTTGGTCCTTTTGGTCTCACTCTTTTCCTGGAAATGGGAGCTTTCTCCCCCAACCTTACCCAAGAAGAAACAGCAATTGTGCTCATATAGCCAAGCTACAAGCACACCCTGGAATGTCCCACCATCTGGACAAGAGCCAATACCAGCTTCTAGGCATTACACGTGAAAAGGGAAGTCTATCTCCAGATCACATCCACCAGGAGATGCTCAGTAAGCTTAACAACAAAGCAACATACATCCGTTTAAGCATTAAAAATCCATGTAACTACTGAAAATGTCCAAGAAAACACAATTAAAGATCTCAACACATGTCCCAAAACAGAAAAAAGTAACTGAGACAAATGAGCTGGAAGCAGATACAGACTTCCCAGTAGAAGAGCAGGCTCTGGATCTGCCTGAGAAGGAATTCAGAAGAATGACATGAAAACAAATTCAAATGCTCCGAAAAGGGGTGGAGGAAAATTAGGAAGAAGTCAGGAAAGTGCTACAAGAGCAATCAAACAAGATAGATATGGCACTGGAAACACTCCAAACCTGCAAAAAGAAGTTCAGATGATTAATAATAAAATATCAGAAATGGACAATACACTGAAAAGGCAAAGGAGTAGAATGGAAG